ATTTAAAGGTTCATTTATTTATTTCTGATTTTATTTCTAATTATATCAGTTTTGGTCCTCCATACTGCAGAACTTGGACGAGGTAGTTTAGTGACTGAATCAGGTGCGTTGGAGCAAGGAAAAAGGTTAAACATGTAGGGCTGCGGCCCTCGAAGACCATGATTGCCCACCCTTGCACTAAAGTAACCTTAATTTTCACTGCTGTCAGCTTTCCTCCCATTAAATCAGCTACAAATATAAACTGGTTCAGTAAACAGTTAGCATGCTACATTAAGTTACATTTAGTAAAAGGAACTTAAGCTAAATGTAGTACATTCACATTTAACCTGTTTAAATGTTGATGAAATCTCACTGTTGCCTTTTAAAATACAATAAACTGTGTAAAACTGTTTTTTGGACTCAGGGTCCTGGTGAACATGGACGACAACATGATCCAGCACTACTCCCACGAGGACACGTTTCTGCTGTCTCTGGAGAGCTCGGCTGACTCTGTGAGGGTGACTCTGTCAGAAATCTGACTGTTGTCTGTGCGTGTTCACTTTGTAAATAAAAACATTCACCGTGAGCTCCGTCACTGGCTCTAAATCTCCACCACAGCAGTCTGATTACCGCTGACTGTCTGAACAAACCCACGTCCTSCCCGCTGATGCTCGTTTCTACTCTGTCAGGTTTTTGCACTACAGGCACCCGCCGTGTTCATCGAGTAGGAAAAGCTAAACTTCAGAATGAGTTAATTATTGTTCAAACTAAGATGAGATTTAATCCATAACACAGAACAACAACCCAGCCYGCTGTGGTTCAACAGAAAGAAGATATTTATGTGTCAGATTACCAGAGAGTTTTTGTGTTTTCAACCTTTATTTTGACAGGAAGTGGAATCTGTAAATAACCAGATGTGTGTTTGCAGGATGAGGCGTAATGTTTTATGTRTTGCTGCTTGAATGTTTTTATTTTTGTGTCAAAGTGAACAGATTCAAATTGTTGTTGCTTTTATTTTGTGTACATTCTGATGCGGTGCCAGTGAGACGTCACCAGATGTTCTAATCAGTATTGATCCCAGAACCTAAATGACACGAGGTGCCATCATAGAACAAGACTACAGGATGTTGGTTCAACAGTTCTTCCTGTGTGCATCTGGTTGTTTGTTTGTTTTCATTACAGAGGCTGTCGTCGTCAGTATTTATAACAGTTTTATTCTGAGGCTGTAGAGAATTGTTAGACATTTACTGTGAAATGTTTAAGTTCTGACCTGTTTACGCCTAATTCACCAGCATCCTCTGTATCCTTCATGTGTTGTTGTGCCTTAATGTACAGTCTTTTAAAYGAGTCAATAAATCTAGTTTTGTATCAGGTGCTTGCGTCTCTTTACAGCTTCCTTTATAAAACAGCAGCTGACTCGTGGGTTTTTCATCGAAACCAGCAGGAAGGTTTGTTTGTAAAAGAAACACTTTTAACCTCAGGTAACTCTCAGGTCGGTGAGGATTCCCCAAATTATTTCTGTTTCCTAAATGCTTGAATAATGAGATTTGTATTTTACAGCATTTATTCTTTTTTTTCTTTCAACTCAGCAGTTTACAGCTACGGAGCCCGCGAGGGGACACGGGAGATTATTTTTCTTTTGCGTTATTGCGTGGGAACGCAAAAGTAGTTTCTCACTGTTGTGCCTGCCGGTTCATTAACAAACTCACCTTTACCATTAGCGAGTTAGCCTACTGCTTTAATTCAGCTTCAGAATGAATATATCACACAGCCACGCATGGAAGTATGTCATATGCCGATATTTTAACACAGTTCAGCCACGCAACATCAATGTCAATTCCACAAACTTGTGGCGACACATCCTGTTTTGGTAACTGGATATTTCAAAATAAAAGTCTGATTTAATTCAGTTCATATTCAAAACAAACTTTTGCGTTGGAACGCAAAACAATATTGCGAGGGAACGCAAAGGGAAAAAAAATCCCCCGTGTCCCCTYGCGGGCTCCGTATACATCCTCTGTCTTAGTATTTGGTAATGTTCAAACTGCATGACTTGGTTCAAACGCTCTCCCTCATTCCTCCTGACTGAGCTGAGGTAGGTTTGCTGTCGTTTCAGCTCCACCCACAATTATTTATTGAATGTGATCAAGGCTTTGTGGTGGTCCCTCCAAAACATAGACTTTAGAGACCATGTGGTCTTCTAGAAGGGTCTGCCTCGACTCCCGGGGGCTTGTGGAAATATTGGAGCAACATTTCAAGACACAAGTCAGGACGTTAAAGTTTTAACACAAATGAGTGTGCAACTGGACAATGACAACTAAATTACTTACAAAGAGTAGACATGTTTTTATAATCCTTTTTCACATTTAAATTCTTCAGTTAGGGTCTTCACAAATGCTTTGGTCTGAATTCCTTCTTATTGTAACTCCACAAGCCCCTCTTTCACCCCTTATGTTTGTTCTCTCGCAAATAATTTGATGTAATTGTTCAGAAAATGTTATAGAAAACTGTGTGACCCAAACAGAATCTAACACATCTGCAGCACCAGGAGAGACTAAGTCCACAACAAAATGTATTTAATGGCTAAAAAAGTGGATTTTGCATGACATGTCTACTTTAAAGATAACTACTTCAGCCACAGATGCTTCTTTCAGCAACAGTTGACCGTACCTTGGTTGCTCCCTGCAGGGTCTTGAGCAGCCCACCACCACTGAGTGCTCCTTCCAGCCCCACTCCTCAGCCTGTAGATTGACATGTCTTCCATTTATCTCATCAATGCCATCTTACCAAAGACGATACAAAACAAAAACTAGACCAGAAGACCAGATCTGGGTGCAGGTTGGAGACCAGTCTGAGTTTCTGGTGTAGTTCTACCTGCAGTTGTTGTTGATCCCTGACAGGATTCAACAGGTTTGTTCGGCTGTTCCTGTCTGTAAGGAAGTTTATCGTTACCTTTACTGTTCATTAAAACACTTTCTTTTCTTATGAAAATGCATTAAATTAAAAGCAACTATCTAATATTATCTTATGTAGATAAAAGGAAAATGTAAAAAAACAACAATATGAACACATTGGGGCATCTTCAAAATCACTTTACACTTTTTACCTTTGGACCTGAAACGGTCCCTCTCAGAAAGGTCTAATAAATATGTCGTGAGTATTTTTTTTTAACTTTAACTGATTTAAATATTTTCATTAACTTCAGACCTAACTATACATATGAAGTTTTGTATTATTTTTTCATACTTTTTAAAATTTTTATAACATTTTTGCCAGAATTTTTTTTATTTTTTTAAAGAGAAAAATACAAAATATGCAAAAATTTCAAAAACAAGGTGCAAAATGAAATATTTAGCATGAGGCTGTTACCGCCTTGACTAGGCCAGCAATTGATAACTTTGATTGTGATGCATTATTACTTTTGGAGTAATGATCATTTTTAAAATGACTAAATTTTTTTGCATTACAGTCGTGTTTCAAACTGTTTTTAGGAGCTCAGAGTGAAGATGACACACCTGCATGTTAAAGGTGAAAACTACAAGCAGCTTCCTGTTCCTCTGACCACAGCTGACAAGATTATCAAGAAATACAAAGTTCGTATAACTGCAGCCWACCTCCCTGGAGGTGGACGCAACAGCAAATGCAACCCCAGGTTTATCAGACAAATAGTGTGGACAGTAAAAAAAAAAAAATCCTTTTATCTCAAAATGTAAATTTAGCCTCAGTTTCCTGTTCTTACCTGACAGCAGTGGTCTGCTGCTGCTGCAGGGTCGGACAGCTTGTGAGTTCAGAGATGTTCTGCAGACGTTGGTCAGAACGAGTGATTATCTGAGCAACTGTTTAGTTTCTGTCATGTCAAACTGGTCCTCCTAGTCTCCCCATCCTCTGACATCAACAAGACTTTTTTATGCAGAAAACTGCTGCTGACAGGATGTTTGCTCCTTTTCAACCTGTCTTCTGTAAACTCCAGAGACGCATGCGTGTGTGTGTGTGTGTGTGTGTGTGTGTGTGTGTGTGT